CTTTTGAAATATTCAATGAGGGTTGCAGAGTGGATTATATTTGGGATTGGGGGTGGGATTGGGGGAGGTGCGGGGCGGATTGTGTACCAATGAGTGAGTTTTTCTTTTGCTTTTCAAGGAGAGGAGCAAACGGGGGCAGGAGGGGTGAGGTGGGGTAGGCGGGGAGAAGGGTGCAACAATGAAGGAATAGAATTCCAATATCTCTGTAGATGTTCATTGAAATGAAAAAGAAATAAATTAAAATATAAAAAGAATAGCAGTGATGTTAGTTTGAGGACAAAGGTGCACTTGATTCAAACCATGGTCTTTTCAGTCACTTGTTATGGTTTGAGAGCTACACAGTGAATGAGGATGACAGAAGAAGAATTGATGCCTTTGAGATGTGGTGTTGGAAAAGAGTACTGAACATCCCAGGGACTGCCAAAAGAACATACTGATACGTCTCGGAGCATGTGCAGCCAAAGTGCTCCTTGGATGCTGGGATGGTGAAGTTTTGTCTCATGTACTTTGGCCATGTTGCTAGAAGAGGCTATTCCTTGGAGAGGGACATCATGCTTGAAAACGTGGGGGGTCAGTGAAGGAGAAGAAGACCCTCAGCCAGGTGGATTGACCCGGTGACTGCAGCAATGAGCTCGAGAGTGTCAGGAAGCGTGAGGTTGGTGCAGGATAGGACAGGGCTCAGATCTGTTGTTCATAGGGTTGCTATGAGTTGCACTCAACTTGACAACATCTAACAACACAACAAGAATAGCAATAGATATTGAACAGGTTTCAGTAGTGTCTAGATGAAGATGAACGTACAAGATGAAAATAAGCCAATAAAAATCCTTTGGATCACGTTGTTTTGCCTCTGTTGTGAGCCAGAAACTGACTAGACAGTAGCTAATAACAACAAAATAACATATCGTATTTACCATGTGCCAGCCCCTACTGTTGTTTGAATTTATTAATATGTTGTTTTTGTTGTTGTTGTTAAGTACCATCCAGTCATAGACGACCCATTGTGACCCTATGAATGAAAGGCCTGAACACTTGTATAATTTTCATCCTTTCACCAGATTCATAGGGTTTCCAGAGACAAGCTATTTCGGAAGTGGGTGCCACTCCTGCTTTCAAGCTTGTTTTCATTGGAGAGCTCCACCAAGCACTGTCCACCATGGGTGACGATTATCACATTTTGACACATCAGTGTCACAGTGTTTAGCATCACAGCAACCAGGAATTTCCTCTGTACAGCAAATAGACAGACCAGTGCTATGCCACTTAGAAGAATGTTTGACCGAAAACAATTAAAACCAGGCCTGAGGGCCGCAGATTAAAATCACCAACCTATGGCTTGGTAGCATATCTTTCTATCCACTAGGCCCACAGCTCTCTCTCTCTATGTTGGTGGTGGTATTGTTAAGTGCCATCGAGTTATAGAGAACTCATAGAGACCCTATAAATGAAAAGTTTGGTAATTAACTGGCTCTGTTTCTTCCCCAAGAACTCTTCACTGCCTCCTGAGACTGTGGCCCAGACCAGCCCCATGCAAACTCTACCCTTTGCATCCTTTGCATCCAAAGAAGGAGGAGGCCAGCTAGCTTGGACTTTTAAAGCCCCACACTTGACGTTGTCTTTTGTATTACAGAGTTGTTCCTGGCGACCTGGACTCTACTTCTCCTGCCTGTTCTGCTTGCGTGGCTCTTCTGAGAACTGGACCCTTGACCTTGAAACTCCATCCTGTGGATAATGTCTTACAATAGTGTGGACAGTCTTGATGTTAATAGAGTCAAGGCTAGGCTAGGTTTGGGAAAGGGATGGTCTTTCCCCTTCTTTAACCCTCTTTTCGCTCACGGTGGGAGCCCTGTTGTCTCGTCATTTTCATTGATTGCTGGGATTTCGAAAGCGTTCTTGCCAGGTGCCCCAGTGTAGCCCCATCCTTTAACACAAGTAAGTGTCCCTTGTATCCATAACCCCAGTGGGAAGGTGTGGGGTTGCTGTTGGGTGGAAGAATGAGGCCTGTCCCAGGATACCTTTTCTATAGCACCTGCTTTAACTTCTGATGAATTGAACAGACTGACCTTTGCTTTCATACTGCCTCCTTTTACATATTTTCAGCTTGATTTCAACAGCCACTGTGTCATCGTGACATAAAGGGGTGGAGATTTTGCTCCAGGGAACCCTGGTCCCATTGTTCTCCTGCCTCTGACCCTACCTTAGCCATGCTTTGACTTATCTGCCCAATAACAAGAACAAAAACCAAACCCACTGTCATCCAGCCAATTCTAACTCATGGCAACACTATGGGTGACAAAGTAGAGTTATGCCCGGAAGGATTTCTTGGCTGTAATCATACAGAAGCAGATCACTAGGTCTTTCTTCCAATACGTTAGTAGATAGATTTGAACCACCAACCTCTGCATTGAATACAAACCATCTGTGCCACCCAGGGGCCTCCTTGATTTGTTGTTACGTGTTGTCAAGTTGGAGCACACTCCCAGCGGATCCTCCCGGGGGTTTTCAGAGGCTGTAAATCACATGGGGCAGATTATCCATCCTTCTCCCTCGGAGCAGCTGGGTGCTGGGAGAAAAGAACGCTCCCCTTTCCCACGACACGAAGACCACTAGACCTCTGCAAACAGCACTGAGAAAACGACAGGAGCCAGGCCAGATGCCCAAGTGCTGGGAGGAGAGCGTCCACTCTGGTTTCCTTGTCAAAGGCGACATGATCGTAACGCAAAGAAGTCCACTTCAGATCACGTCACTCACTCACACTCACTCACTGCTGTCGAGTTGAAATCAACTCCTAGATGACCCTCCAAGGGGTTTTGTTGTTGTTGTGTACCATCAAGTCAGAACCAACTCATAGGGGACCCTCCAGTGGATTTTCAGAGGCAGTTAGTCACACAGGAGGAGATTGCCCATCTTTCCTCCTCAGAGCCGCTGGTGGATTTGAACCGCACACCTTTACATTGGCAGTTCAATTCCTTGGCACTAGGCCCCCAGAGCTCCCTTCAGGGGCATCGTTGTTGTTGATTATCATCAAGTCAGAACCAACCCAGAACCGACCGTCAGGAGGGTTTTCAGAGGCAGTTAATCACACAGGAAGAGATTGCCCATCCTTCTCCCGCAGAGCAGCTAGTGGATTTCAACTGCGTGCCTTCAGGATTGCAGCTCAGCTTCTTGCCGCCAGGCCACCAGAGCTCCCTTCGGAAGCATTGCTCTCATTGTTGTTGTTGTTATTGTTGAGTACTGTAGAGTTGGAACCAACCCATAGCTGAGCCTCTCCGGTGGCTTTTCAGAGGCAATTAATCATAAGGTGGGGAGACTGCCCACCCTCCTCCTGCAGCGAAGCCAGCTGGTGGCCTTGAACAGCGTGCCTTCAAGATTGCAGTGCAGCTTCTTGCCACTAGGCCACCAGAGCTGGGAGAAGATTGCCCGTGTTTCTCCCATGGGGTGTTTGGTGGATTCAGGTCACTGGACAGGTGCTGCCTTTGAATTAGCCGTGTACCTCCCTGTGGACTGCGCCCCCAGAACCCACATGTTGTTGTGTTGCTGTTGTTGTTAAATACTGTCAAGTCAGAACTGACTCATCTCTGACCCCTGCGGTGGATTTTCCGTGGATTTTCAGAGATTGTAAATCGTGGGGAAGGAGACTGCCCGTGTTTCTCTGCAGAACAGCTGGTAGTTTTAAAGAGCACGCCTTTGAGCTGGCCGTGCAGCCCCTTAGCTGACCCCAAATATCACAGCGACAAAACACCCCTGGTCCAGCCATCAAGTCGTTTCTGACTCATGATGACCCCCTGTGTGTAGGATAGCACTCCATGGAGTTATAAAACCCAATAGCTACTAAGGGACTAGAGGAACAATGATAGTTCTAGAACAGGGTTCAGACCTTGTGTTCATAGGGTCGCCATGAGTCATACTCGACTTGATGGCACTTAACGACAACAGCTACTAAGGGAGCACTGGTGGCTTAGTGGCAAGGAATTGCACTGCCAACACAAAGGTCCACGGTTGAAACCCACCAGCTTCTCTGTGGGAGAAATATGAGTAATCTTCTCCCAAGCAATTAACTGCCTCTGAAAACCTGCTGGAGGATCAGCTTTGTATCAGCTTTGACTTGATGGCACACAATAAGCTACACCATAGGGAGCTCTGGTGGCCTAGTGAATAAGGAGCTTTGTTGCCGACCCAAAAGCAAGTGGTTTGAATCCAGCAGTGACTCCACAGGAGAAAGTTGAGCAATCTCTTCCCAAGCGATTATAGCCTCTGAAAACCTGCTGTGACTCACCAGCAATGAATTACAGCAACTGTTGTCACAGCAACAGTCACTCAAGTGCCAGTCCACTCCCATCAAGTGGAACCCTCTGATGGAGTTCTAATCTGAGCTATAGGGTTGTTGTGAGATGACATCAACTAGGCAGCAACAGGCCTGATTTGGGGTATTTTGGATCTCTTAGAGCCTCTGAGTGGATTTGAACCACCAATCTTTCAGTTGCTAGTAGAACACTTGGTATATAACTGTTTTGTGTCACTCACAGCTCCTTAATTAGGCCACAGCTTAAAACACCACTGTGGATATGACATTTTATCAGCCTTTGCCCTGTACCACCAAAACTCCCTACCTAGACCAAAAGGGTAGTTAAATTATAAAGATACCACATCACAAAGTCCAATTTCTGAATGCCAAGTCTATTTGATACAACTGGTCAACTCAAATGCCCCGAGTAAGACATGAGAAGAGTCCTTGCCTTTCAATGGTTCATGGTCATGGAGAAACAGAGACACGTGCCAGTCACACTCACCCCCTCTGACCCTCAGACTCTGAGACACAGCCCTCACGTGCCCTGAGGCACATTTAGATGTGCGGTCATGCTCACTTAGACCCCCAAGTGCAGCCCCTTAGATTCTAATTGCTGTGATAATTTAGTAGTCACGAACATTTTTGTGTATGACCTATGCAACAAGCATCATTCAAAGCATTATGGGAATTGTATCACGTCAAGCTAACATTAGGTCTTGAAGGTATAAGCTATTATTATCCCTGGTTTACAGAGATAAGTAAACCAGGGCTTAAAGGAGATTACTCACCCAAGGGCCCATATTTCTTACATCCCATATTCAGGGCTACAGTCGAGCTTATATGTACACATGGTAGTAGAGGCAATCTACTCAGAGTCTCACAGAAAAAAAAACACGTCTTAAATACATGCATAGATTTGAACACACACACACACACACACACACACACAAAACCAAGGACTTGGGTTTAGCATATCTACGATCAGGTGTGTGGGCTAACTTCCAATCCCACGGTTATGCACTGCTCTGCATTGGAGTGGGAGACGCCCAGCCCAGGGGGATACTTTGAAAATGTACCCTAACAAACAAGGTCTGGAAATTCTGGTATGAGAGGATGAGAGAGATGGAAAGACCCACAATCTGGAGTCTTGAGGGGTGCAGGGATATACAGGCCAGCCCCTGCCCTCTAGGAAATGAAGGTCTCTGTGGGGAAAAAGAGGCAAGGCACATTTCACACAGCAAAGCTAAGTTGGTGTTGTGTGCTATCGAGTCAGAACTGACTCATAGCTGACCCCTTAGAGGATTTTCAGGGACTGTTAAATCACACAGGAGGAGATTGCCCATCTTTCTCCCGTGGAGTGGCTAGTGGGTTCGAACCATGTGCCTTTGGGTTGGCAGTGTGGCTCCTTACCACTAAACCACTAGACCTCACTGCAAAGCTAAATGGTGTAAGTTTGAGACCTGCGTAGCTGCAGGCTCTGGGGAGGGAGGAGCCCGTGCTCCCTGGGAATGTGGGCTTGCTCCTCTTTGCTGTAGAGTTGGTTCTGATAATCGCTGAGGCTTCAGCATGTTTCTTTCCTCTGTGTGCTTATCTGTAAAACAAAGGTTTGGAACTTGCGAGGTGTGGGGGTTGCTGTTTGCTGAGGGGGATGAGCTGTGTCCCAGGACCCCTTCCCAGGCTTCTACTGCTCTCACTGCGGATAAATGAAACAAATTGACCTTTACTTTCACACTGCCTCCCCGGATGTATTTCCATCTAGTCCCAAACCTTTGTTTAACAGACTGTTGTGATGTTCCATCAAGTTGGAAGTGACCCACAGCTGACCCTCTGGGGGATTTCAGAGGCAGTTAATTGCGTGAGAGGAGTGCCCATCCTCATGTGGAGCCGCTAGTGGTTTCGTCCCTTTTTGGGATTGCAGCACAGCTTCCTGCCTTCTAGGCCACCAGAGCTCCCTATTTAACAGACGAACAGATATCCAGACAGAAGATGCAACTTGCCTAAAATCATATAAACCAAGTGGGAGGAGCTTGCCTGTCTTTCTCTCATGGAGCTGCTGGGAGATCCAAACTGCCTTTTGGGTTAACAGTGCGAGTAACTATGGAGCGCGCCACCAGCCAGTAAAAACAATACCTCATTGTTATTGAGTCAGAGTTGGTTCAATAGCTGACCCTCCAGTGAATTTTTAGAGTCTATAAATCCCAGGGAGTATGTTGAGTGAAATATCTCAGTCACAAGGGACAAATACTGCATAGGGCCACTGTTGTACAATAGGACTGACACAGGGGTTGGGTGGAGACCGAGAAAGATAGGATAAATTATGTGTACTGCATTGAAACAGATTGGAGAAAGAACTGTTTAAAAGGGATATATGATTAGGTATTATTGTCATGACAGGAGTCCAGAA